GGTAAACCGTTTCGCTCCACAACCCCATGGGGTAGTGGACGTTTTCGCGATCCGTTGGCCAACTTCCTTCGCTATCGCACCCGCCCACCAGGTGAACACGGCCGTGAAGCACGAGGACGACCCGACAAATTCTCTTGAGCACATGGCCTAAACGATCTCCACTGTGATCCTTCCATGGCACAGGCTCGGATGAGGCACCGCTGCATACCAGCCGCACCGCTTAGACGGCAACTAGCCATTTACCAAGAACCATCAATGCGGCGTCTCATTGTTTAGCATCACCAAGTACCGATAGACGAACCCGGTTTGCCCCGTGGAGAAACCAAGCAAAGTTGTGGGATATTCCTTTGTTGGATGATGGCCAAGACGATGAAGGCCCGGCGGACTGACTTGGCTCCGCGTTGATTGGCCGAATCCACAGCGGAAAGACTTTTAGCTCCTTCTCCTCAGCAGCGGCCTCGAGACGAAACCTCAGGCTAAACCGCAAACCAATCCCACCGCGGACTTGTGTCATCCAGAAACCTGGTGGGACCCATAAACCACGCACCGAAAGACCGCGTCTAACACCCCATCCGTGCGACAAGCGTGCACGCCATCTAGTTTCCCCGCAATGCAGCGCATGCTCAAGATCTTGGACCTGTCTCGGCCCCCTTGGCCTAGGCCCATGTGCGACGTTGGCCTCGACTGACAAGCTCTGAAAACACTTGACCTCGCGCGACATGGCGCAACACCAAGATTTCGGTGGCTTGCCAATGTGCCTTTTCTCTGCGACAAGACCACGAAGACTCCAGGGTCGGGGCTGGGCTCCTCACCGGAACCAGTCACGAGTAGTGAGCTCGGAGTATCAATGCGACGTTCATGTCAGGAAAGAGTCTTGGTATTTTGCGGGTTACCTCCCTGGGACGAGTAACCGTATCTCGTGTCCTCATTGCGACGTCAGCCAGGACGGACTGGGGAGAAAGAAGAGCAAGGGATCGCATGTTGGAAGACTCAACTCTACGCCAGAGTGCTACATCCCCTGTGGAAGGTTGCACCAATGCTACGTGAGCGCGTACTCCCCGCTGAACTGCAAATTTCACGATGCGGGCACCACTAGACCGAACACGAGACCACCGACCACCGGCTCCGACATACCTGTCCTTGCCAAAAAACCGCCGGAGGCGGCAAAGCCAACCTGGCACTAAGCACGCCCAGCACCTAGGGTACGCCCTGCGAGCTTGTGTGCCGCACGTTTGCATGTTCGCGATTCGGCAGAACGCACAATGATAATCAGGCTCCAAGACCAAGCAAGCGGGCAGACTTGCCTTCGGGGACCCCGCGACCCCATTCCCCCAGCGCCATTCAGCCTCAAGTGTGTCCAAGGCGGCCGGAAGAAGCGCGCTTACCATGTCTTGGAACGCATGCATGCGCGGAGGTACCTAGACAATTGTCGTGTGATTTCGGAACATCGCTTGTAGAGAAGGATCTGGGGCGAAGTATGGGATCCACCGCACTTGTGCGACGCTGAGGGCGGGGATGGAGGTGTATAAGAGTGCTACTCCACGTCCCCCGGATTGTTGATTTCCCCAGATCAACCAGCTCAGGCTTCGGTGATCCAACGGGCGTCTTACCCACACCCTTTACACCTCATACTCTTATCTTTTCAGAGAGGTTCTTTGAACACCACCCATCATGTCTGAGAAGAAGAACGATGTCGTCATGCTCGAGCAGACGATGACTCGGGATGAAGAGCTCATGAAGCCTGTGCCCATTGTCGGCAAGGTGGATTACTCTGGTGCTTACGAGAAGACTGATCCCCGAGAGATTGCGCTTGTCAAGAAGCTCGACCGATGGATTATGCCCATGTTGTGGAGCATGTACTGGCTCAATTACCTTGGTATGTCACTCCTCTCTCACAGTGATCTTTTTGGAAGCACTTACTTACACATCGCTCTGTCTAGACCGCAATGCCATTGCACTGGCCCGCCTCGACGACCTCGAAGAGGATCTCAACCTCACCAGCGAGCAGTACCAAACCTGCGTGAGCATTCTCTTCGTCGGATACCTCCTTGGCCAAATTCCCAGTAACATGTTCCTCAACCGAACCCGTCCATCGCGCTACATGGGCTGCTGCATGATGCTCTGGGCCGTCGTCTCCGCCCTGACAGCTCTTTCCAAGGACTTCACCGGTCTCCTTCTAACCCGCTTCTTCCTCGGTGTAACAGAAGCCCCCTACTACCCCGGTGCTGTCTACCTGCTCTCCATGTTCTACACCCGCAAGGAAGTCGCCACCCGCATTGCCATCCTCTACACCGGAAACATCCTCGCGACCGCCTTCGCCGGCCTTATCGCCGCAGGTATCTTCCACGGTCTCGGCGACGTCGCTGGCATCACGGGATGGCGCTGGCTCTTCATCCTGCAAGGCGCCGTCACTTTTGTCATCGCCGTTGTTGGCTTTTTCCTGCTCCCTGGTAAGTTCTCAGAACGACTGTACGAAGTGCATGTGAGACATATACTGACTTCGTACCTCTGCAGACTTCACGCACAACACATGGTGGCTCACACAAGAAGAGCGCGACCTAGCCACCAACCGCATGGCCCTCGACACCGTCGGCAACAAGGGCGAGACTTCCGTCTGGGCTGGTTTCCGCCAAGCGGGCAAGGACCCCATGGTCTGGATCTTCGCTTTCATGGCTCACATGCATCTTGCCGCCAACGGGTTCAAGAACTTCTTCCCTACCGTTGTCCAGACGCTTGGGTTTAGCAAGACTATCACCTTAGTTTTGACCTGCCCGCCTTACCTCATTGCTGGTGTCGTCACGATCGCTGTCTCGTGGTCTTCTGGAAAGTTCAACGAGCGCACTTGGCATATTACTATTTCCAAAGCCGTTGCTACCTTTGGCTTTGGACTGGCTTGTGCTGAGATTGGTACTGCGGGTCGTTACGTCGCTATGATCATCTTCACCATTGGCACTTATGGTGTTAATTCGCTCATCCTGGGTTGGTGTGGATCGACATGCGGTCAGACGCCTGAGAAGAAGGCTGTTGCTATCGGTATCGTGACGACGGTTATGAACGCTTCGTTTATCTGGTAAGTTCCCCTTCTACCTCTTCTTCATCACCTCAAAGAACCAGTTGCTAATATGGATAATAGGACACCATACCTATGGCCCAAGTCCGACGAACCCCGCTACATCATTGCGCTTAGCTCCTCGGCTGCGTTCTCCGTTGCGACTGCACTATTGGCGTGGCTGGCGAAGATTCTTTTCACGCGTAAGAACAAGAAGCTCAGGGAGCAGGATAGCGAGAACATGACCTTCTACGTGTACTAGATGTTTGTACGAGGTTGCGATACGCACAGTGCGCGATGGCTGGGCAGTGGAATCGGCTGGCAAGAGCTGGCGCAGATTAAATGGAAGATAGTACATTACGAGCCGAGAGCTCGATGAATATGCATATACGAATGATAAATTTTTCGATCTTGAGGACTAGCTCTCTGCATCGACATGCTTGCGCATTGTGATTCCCATTCTGCGAAGACTAACACATGATCTGGCGATGCAGCCTACAACCCTCCTCCCCAGCTTCCAAGATACGAATCCGTCACTACCACACGCTAACCCCACATCCATACTATAGAAGGATCGAATTCCCAATAGTACTTGAACCCTTTCTTTTTCTCCAACATCGCCTTCCCACGAGCGATCAACGCCGTCTCATCGCGCTGGGAAATACCAGCCTGAATGGCTAGTTTCCTGCAAGCCAGACGCACCACTTCGTTGTAGTCGTATGAGTGCATTCGCGGGAGCCTGGGGTCTTTAGGGTTGGGCCTCGACTCGAATGCAAGACATTCAAGGTCGTTCTTGTTCAAGCAGAAGTACTTCTCGGATTTGGATACATTGATACACGTTGTCTGGGATGCGTTCAGCGTTTCGGGATTTCGCCGTTTGTTACGATAGATCCAGTTCTTTCAATTCCGCTTCCTCTGCGTAGGCGTATCCATTGGTTCCAGCAATGCTGCTCTTAATGTCGCGTCATGGTCAGCGTCTTGTCTGGCTCTTTTCGCGGTGGCTTCGCGTTCCGCGGGAGTTGGAGTCGGCGTTTTGGGTTCTGTTTTGACTGGTATACTGGCAGGTTTGCCCCATTGTTCCTCCATCACTGCTTTAATTGCCGCTTCATGATGAGCTTGTTCTCTGGCTCCCCATGGGGTGAGGGTCGGCGTCGGCGTTTTGGGCTCTACTTTGACTGGTATACTAGCACATCCAACTTCCTTCTTCGATGTCACGGGGGTTGTCGGGGGCTTAGGCGCTATCTTGACCGGTACAACGGCAGCGTTGAATTTCCTGCGCGATGGCACGGGGTTGGTCGGCTCATCGTCACTATCATCGGGTGTGGCTGGGCGTTTGCGTTTGGACGCTTTCGCTACTGTAGGAGAAGCTTCTACCTCGCTCTTCAATGCAAAAGGCTCGGACTTGATGTTGATGGCTGAAGAAGGTGGGGTGAGTAGCTGGGGTGCTAGGGTAGGCGAGGTGGGTTCCTCCTTGATGAGGGATTGTGACGTTTCCTTCACCATTTTGGAATCGCGGCGATGGAGTGGCATGTTGAGTGGGTGCAAAAGAGCGTTACTCAAAGAAGAAGCAGTAAGACACTTGCACGATGTCTTTAGGAGAAATTCAAGACATGTAAGACAATGCGATAAAGCTACTCTAGGAATAAAGACATTAGCAACTGTGCCTCTTATCAGCTTGCCTTCCGAACAAGGGATAGATTTGCTGCACAATAAGGGGTAAAGTACCAAAACAGTCATCTTGGATGCCACGTCAAGACGCATTGAGATATTGGTAAACTACTCCAACTAGCAATATCGAGATCCTTCGGCATGATGGTGGTGCACTAGTACGACACGAGTCTGGTAGTATTCCCGTCAAAGTCCCGATAACACCCTTACCTAGGTACTCACGGAACCGGATTCGCTGCACGAAACTTGGGGTCAAGATTGGGAAACTTGATTTAACGACAGTCTAGTAGCCACTCCAGTTATGCTGAAAATTTGGGTCGTCCCCATACTTCTCCCACATCAGCCTATCCTCCTCATCCTCGCGCATCCGCCTGAGTTCGTCTTGTCGCATCGATTCTTTGTAGCGTGCAAAGACGTCTCCCATACCCCCACCTTTGCATACCTCGAGGTTGTCGTACTTACTAGAGAGTGTTAGATTATTGCAGCTGCTATGTGTATCGGTCGCTTACCCTCTGGCGTGTTTATCGGCAAACAGCTTCTTCCCTTTGGCGAAGAATTCCTCCTCATTCTCCTGCGATATACCAGCGAGCATAGCTTCTTTCCGAAAAGCCAGCTTTCCGCAATCATCCCATTTGTATTGGCGCTGGGGCATCTGGTTGTAACTGTTCACGCTAGGGCGATGTGGGATGCACTTGAGCTCATCTGGCTTCATGTCGAAGAATGACTTCGCGCCTTTGACGTTTACGTTTTTTCCTAGCTCACCCGAAGTGATTGTCTCATCGGTCTGGTTCTTGGACACCCAATCCTTCCAGTCCTTCTTCCATTGCGCGACTTGCTTCTTTCGCTCTTTCTCGGCTTTCTTCGCTTCGGCAGTTTCTTTTCTCTTCGCAGCGTTTGCGGCTTTGACTGCAGCTTCTTCGGCTTTCTTCTTGGCGGACTCAAGCTTCTTTGCAAGCGCTTCTTCGGACTGTGCTGCTTTCTTGGGTGTTCTCGGTTCACGGGTGGTTTGGCCTTTCCTCGCTACCTTTGCGGGCGTCTTCGTTTCGGCGTCATCGTCGTCCTCTGCCGGTCGCTTGAGGTTGGGCGTTTGTTTCTGTCCAGCTGGTTTCGGCGGCTCGACCGACGTCTCTTCGATACCCGTTACTTTGGACCCGTGCTCATCGGATTCCGGAGGGGGAGTAGGAAGTTGCTGGCGGCTCTCCATTGATGACGCCATCGCTGTATCGGAGCTCATGATAACATTCGAGAGGTTGAAAAGCGACTTTGGAATAAATAGAGTGGGGGTTCGATGGGCCTAAGCGGAAGGCCTACGGGGCAAATCAGATTAGAAAGTGTCAACTTGATGAGGATAGTACTGAGATTGGGAACTAAAATTACAGGAACCAGATGTGACACTCGAGAACATATATATCGCGTTGTGCTTCTGGTGATTGGGGGTTCGGCAGAAATCTCACTTCTGGCAACTAGCGCAGTTGCTTATAGATAAGTTCTACGCCTTTGTAGAATTTTGTTGCTATATTAGTAGTTAAAGAGAATTTAGATAAAGTTGTTAAAATAGTCCGTTGGTTCGTAAACGTCTCCAAAAAGGTCGTAGCTTTAGTACATTTGGAGTCACTTGGGGTACTTGCGCATGCCTCTTGTCTATATAGGCGATTAAACTCCTATATACGGTAATAACAGCTGCAGTGAAGTACTAATCACGTGACGCGATCTCTCACCTATTGCAAGCAGCACCGTCTAGGATTATTAGTTGGGTGGGTGACCACAAGAGAGCAGTACGCGCGTTCAAATAAGTGCTGCGCGTTCAAATAAGTGCTGCCTACGCGTCTCTTTTTGCCTGTTGTTGTCGTCGCCGCCAAAGTTTTGATGTTCCGCCAAGCATGCCAAGGTGTAGTCATCACGTGATGTCTACAAACCTGCAGCCAATGAGCGTCGAGGTTCTCGCGGCCAATCAGCGTGACTGCTTTTTGACTAAGGAGAGCCATATACACGAGCAAATCCCGATATTAAATGTAGCTAAAGCTACAATAATATAACTTAGATAAGTAGTAATAGTGTTACAGGCGGAAAGAGGCCTACTAACGAGTATGCATTTGCTTCTATATACAGAAGAAGAAAGATAAGAGAAGAAAGGTTCTCCTTACGCGTACGACTTGCCTTTTGTAGGCCTTATACTTTACTGCTTTAGTTAGCGCTAAGTTATACGTTATGTAACTAGAACTATCTGCTTAATACAGCGTAGCCTCTTATAAATAGCACTTTATATACTTAAACCTTAACTATAGTTCTGCTATCTTATTGTAGAGTTATTTTAAAGACTTATTGCTGTACTGTAGATATATATAGAGATGTACTAGCTTAGAATGTAAGTCTGCATTGTAAGACTTAGCACGCGCACTATCTAGTGCTAACCGCTATATGCTGTAGCAGTTGTCGGCAAATTACAGTTATTACATACCTAACTACCTAAAGTACCGTCAAAGTCATTGCAATCGGATTATCACGAGACGAGCGCGCAAACAAGAACAGACACTCGAGAACATATATACCGCGCACTGCGTTCCGATTAAGAGACCCTGCAGCTATGTCAACCTTATCGCATGGGGCTACATGTGGGGTGGTGCCCGTGCCGCAGCCGTTTCTGGGCTACGTCACCCCCACCTCATTACCCCTGATGTCCCCACCATGTACCCTTCTCGTCACCAACCCTGAAACTGCTGGCACCTACCTCGATGATCTGAAACACGATAAATGTGATCGTACTCGCATCCAAGACTTGAGCACCTCCTAAGCTTTCAGCGGATTAAGATATCGCCAGCACTACCTAAGCATGCTAGCTAGTGCAAAGATGATGTCACACAGTGTTACCAAGGTATATTCATTTTTCCGCTGATCTTGTAGCGACGTCAGCGCAAGTGTGCCCGCTTCCAGTATGCATTCCATGATGAAGAATCTGTTGCAACGAAAGTAAAGATCGCGATTGAGAAGCTATAGCGACAGCTCGATGAGTACTACTATACAACTAGGCAGGTCTAAACGGGTATCCAAGCAACAGACGGCAGAAAAGAACGAGAAACCATGAGTATCGCATCAGCGCATCACCTCATCACCTCCCACCCATCGACTCAACTCCCTCAAGCTCTCCTCAACATTCTCCCAAGCCTTCGGCGACATAATCAAGCTCAACCAATACCCCCCTGCATGATCCCTCCCCAGAATATGCACCAACAGCCTATTCGCCACATTCGGTTTCCTACTCGAGCAATGATGAAACGCAGGCATACCAGGCGGATTACTTCTCCCCTCCCTCGTATCCCCAGCCCTCACAACCGCAGGCCCAAAGTCGACAGTAGAAAAGAATTTGGCTTTCGACCAATCGGTAAAAGGCACCAACATCGCATCTGCGTCGCTGTAGAGGAGCGTAGATGGGTCGCCGGAGATGCGCTGCTCGCGGATGCTGGCGAGGACTTGGCCTTCGGTTGCTTGGGCGAGGAGACTTTGTCTGTTGTGCAGGGCGGTGGGACCGAGGGGGCCGGTGGACATGTCTGGGGTGACGAAGATGAAGCCTGGGACGAGCATGTTTTGCATGTACATACCTTTTGCGTTGATGAGGTCGGGGAGGCGGAAGCGCGCGTTCATGGCGTGGAGGGCGGTTAGGGGGCGGGGTGATGGGAGGGATGATGCGATGCAGCGGAGAGTCCATGCTGTGAGGATGTCGCCATCGCTTATGAACGGTTTCTCGTCTAGGCCACTGTCGTTCTTTTGCGTGGGGAGATCTTTCTCGGCCGCCGCCCGCAGTTTTGCTACGACGTCCTTGGGCAGGTAGATCGTCTGTGACTTTGGAGCAGGGCCGGTAAGCATATCCCACGCGAACCTCGCCCCAAATTTGACCATACTCAGCCCTTTGAGCTGTTTGGCCTTGAGTATGTACTCCTCTGCCGGCTGAGTCGCGTTGTCAGTCAGTGCACGTAGCGCATCTTCCTGCGCACCCAATACAGGCGGTACTTCGGACTCTTTCCCGGCTAATACCAGAGACCAGGCGCGCAGGAGGTTTTGGTTGCCGATTACGTCCATCAGCGTATGGGGCCAGGAGAGCCCCACGAGCGTCGCATCAGTAAAAGAGGTGATATGAACTGAGATCTGTGGCGTATCTCCAGAGGTAAGATCATCCAACGTCATGGGCGCGTCGGAGCGAGCAGCCAGGTCGTTGAACTCCGTGGGCCCTGGACATGTCACAACGGCTCCGTTGGCTTTGGGAAGCTTCTTGCCCAGTTCGTGTTCTTCGATGGAAGTGTTGATGGTGACATGGCTGTACGAGAAGGCGGGTCGCGCAGATGTGAACTGGCGTGGCACGTGGATCTCTAATGCGCCCTTGTCCTATCGTCCAACTTGTTAGCCGTCCTACTTCTACTAAGAGAAGAGCCATGGGATGCTACTCACGTTGAGTCTCAAGCGGCCTCCGAGCTTCCTCCAGTCCCCGGTCTCCAGGAGCTTTGCTAGAGAGGACTGGAGCTTGTCTGCATCAAGAACGTCGTTGAAGCATAGTGTCCACGCAATTATGATGCTACGAAAGGTCTTGGTGTCATCTAGTCCATGCACTGGGTAGACGTCGTCGTCTGCATATGGGTCTGGTGTATCATTGGACGGTGGGGAAGACTGTTTCGTGAATCGCTTGAGGAAATCCATTGCCGAGACGCTAAGTTTGGGAACTGGGGAAAATGGGCGACAATGATCGTTATTCGTGATGCTATCTACTTCGCTCCTCTGCTTTTATTACAGTCAGAGAATGCTTGGCCAAACACGTGTTCGGAAGACGGATTCGTTGGTAGCCGGAGAATATGTTGTTATCGTGGTATCAAAATAGGGGCTCGCTAGATCGGCGCCTCATCTCCAGATTCTCTGTCTCAGGTAAAACTAGCCGCACGTGCCAACACTACAGGCGATCGGATGACGGACACTAGCGATCCGCCTACGTTCCAAACCACGCATCGACCTCGTCGCCTGTGGCAAGCTCGTCGTCGTCGTCGTGGATGGCTTCAACTCTGCCATGCCTGCGCCTGAACCGCCTCCCTCTCACCCGCGTCGTAGACTCATTCCGCTTCCGCAATGCCAGTCGCTTCGCAACCTCATTTGCCTCGACCAGACTGACCAGCTTCCTCTTCTGCCCTTGATTCTTCTCGGCAAACTCCTTGCAGACTTCCCACACCTTTGTCGTAGCATCGCGAGTATCTCGGGACTTTTCGACGAAGGATTCTGGACGTCGTGAAAGCACGTTAGTATTCACGTTCCCGATACCAAGATGTCTGTGGCGACGATTTTGCCCTGCGTCGCTGGGAGGCGGAGGGTTGCTGAAGACCTCTTGAGCCAGATATGTATCTTCTGCCATCTCAAACGGCGTACGTCCTGATGCGTTCTCACGGAAGAGAAGGTCAGGACGGCATTGGAGCATGACGCGCAAGACTTGATCAGTACCACGCCGTACGGCAAGATGGACAGGCGTGTCGCCCTCGCCATTGACGATACTGAGGTCGTCGCCTTTGTTGAGCTCGAAAAGAAGTTTGAGAATATTTTCGTGGCTCTCCGAGTTATAACTTGTTGAGTTGTGGGGAAGAGCGACGTGAAGCCAGCGTGCAAGAGGTGTAGCTGCGCCAGGAGCCGCCGTTGTGCGTTCGGTGAACAGGCTAGAGAGAAGGCGAGTGTCGATGAGCGCCAAAAGCTCGCGGAGCTTTTCTAGGTCTAGCTGGTAGTTCAAATGTTTGTGCAGGATTGAGTGGATAATGTTCGCTCCGGTGTTGTCGCGTGTGGTTTGATCGGCACCAGCTTCCAGAAGAACCTTCACCATTTCGACACGGTGCTGAGAGAAAGCAAGCTGCAGGGGCGTCATGCCATTCGCAGAACGATGTCCAATCGCCTTGGGATGAGTTTTGCATAGATGTCGAAGCAGGCTCACCGACTCTTCACCCTCCTTGCCCAGAACCACCGAATGGAGCAGTAGATGCGAGCGTAGGTCGAGCCACTTTGTGATAGACGACTGTAGGCCGCCTTGGGTCTTCGCCAGGTTCTGGATGCGAATATCGTCTCGATGACTGTCCGCAAACTCCATATAACAGCGCAAAGCGGTGTCACTAGCGAACCACTCGACGCTCTCCAAACTTGTGTAACGAGCGGCATGAAGTAAAGGCGGATGCTTCGCCCCAACTGCTTTCGTCTGGGTCTCTCTCCCTTCATTCGCCCAGTCCGCTCGCTTCCTGCCGTGCACCGATAGCCCTTGGTAGTACTTTGGCTTCACGGGTATCTCGATGCCGCTCTTCTTCACAAGATCGTCCAAAGGAATGCCAGCCCCAGTGTTCTTGATGATGATTCCTAGCAGGCGGGTACGACTCAAGCGGATCGCGTACCAGAACTCGGCTTCGTCGAAACGGAAGAACCTCGGTGCAGTCTCATCGTCGAGTTCGGTGTTGTGTTGCGTGTACTCCTGAGCTCTGGCGATCAGGAATTGTAGTAGATCGGCATCGTCTAGATAGACTGCCAATTGGAACAGACTATGCGGCCGCACATCCTCGGGGATCTTGACGGGTACCGGGTTACCACTAGACGAGTCCAAAGGCGGTTGACCACAGAGGCTGCTTGAGAGCTCTGGGTGTGGAAGCCAGGGTGAGACCGATGCAGCATCGTGTTCGAGAAAACGGAACGCCGGGCACGTCCACGACATCATCTTGAGTGGCGTCACATTGCTTTTGACTTGACTCTGCACCTCTCCAATGTTCTCAATAGTGAAGCAATCATCCACAATCTCAGCGTAGATCTCGAAATCATCCTCACCATCGTCACTGCTACCGTCGTCATCATCTCGGGGCTGGAGACTGTGTTTGACCAATGGCTTCTCTTCGGGCACATATTGCGCATGTGCAATCTCCAAGACAGCACGAGCGATTCCATAGTGCTTCCGCAGAATGGCGATAGAGAACGGCGAGTAATCCTGCGAGTTCTGAACAGCGATTTGCAGGGGAGTCTGATTATCTCCCCACATCGACAAGGTAAGCTCTTTGATCGTCGGAAGATCGCCATCCCAGCAGGCTTGGAACAACTTGAGGTAAGCTTCCCGTCGTTCGTCGGTCAGGTCAGAAAGCCGGAAGGTGAGCAACGGATTCCACGGCTTTGGAGGGTCAGGTCCATAGCTACCATAATTGTACTGTTGTGGTGGGGGTATCCTGATTTCGGTATCGGGATGCAGCTCTTTGAAGGTCTTCGCCTGTCGTCTGAGCAGCTCTGACTCCAATGCTTCGAACTCTTTCAATAGCGCCTGGACAGCCGACCTCTTCTCACTCGTACCCTCGGGTTCTTTCTGAGACTGTTTCCACTTCTCGTGGCTCTCCAAGTCTTGTTCGTAGATCCGTTTGGCGCTGTCGATCTGATCACTCACCATCCAATGAGCGTAGGTACCCGGTTCGAGTCCTCCAAGATATTCAGTATCTTCCTTGAGCGGTACTGGGGCGAATTGCTCGGACCGCCGGTAGTTATCAATGCGGTCCACCCAGCCTTCGGAGCACAACCACCCATCTTGGCCATCAACTTTGCCCTTCTCGATAAAGGTCTGTAGTTTTCGCACATTGTACCGAACAATATCCAAAAGGGTGCCCGTATCGTTGTCGTGTGTGTTGTTGCTTTTGTCCAGCGCGCACCAAGCTTTGGGAGTAAGACTGTTGATGTCTGCTCCAGCATCCAGAAGCTTCAAGACTATCGACAATGCCTCATAACGAAGTGCAGTAAATACAGGCTGCTCGACGTTTTCTCTGAACGCTTTCTGGTTGCTCTCGGCAGTGCTGTATGCCGAATGAAACCCCTTATTTTTCGCAACGGTAGAGTAGGTGGCGAAGTCAAGCTCAGGCTTCGCGCCCAGCTCTAGAAGTGCTTCAACTCCAGCGGTATCACCATGTTCAATGGCTGTCTTCAGAGGACTGTTCACGTTGGGTCTGAACGAATAGCCACTCAGCGATAAGTGATCGGCGGCTTGTTGCGCCGCAGGCCTGTTTGCGGATATCAAAGTGGTGAGCAGATCGGCACCATGCGCAGCAAAGTAGTGCAACGCCGTGATGTGGCTGGTGTCGCCCTGTGCCGGCGATGCACCTAGGCTGACGAGTAATCTAGTCATGTCCTTGGCCTTTTCAGGCGAGAGCTGTAAAGCGAGAACGGTTGGCAGGATCGCCGCGCGCGGGGACTTGTTGTAATCATTGACAAGCTTGACCGGCAGTAGTACATCGGCTCCAAACTCCTGAACGAGAGTCTTTACGACGTCGGTGTGACCATTTGCAATGGCCAGGTGGAGCGCAGATACCGGTGCGTCCCAAGCGACTACGTTGACGTCGTATACATCGGGCTCGTCGTCATTTGCATCATCTGGGAGGTTATCGTGGTCTTCTGACTTTTTGGGGTCTATCTTGATGACAGAGCCTTCAGTAGTCGCATCGGCATTATCGGACTCATCATCAAGTAAATCGACGTCGTCATCCTCATGGTCGTCGTTCTCGCTGTCGTCATCGGAAGCATGTTCCTCGGTGTCGTTGGTACTGGTAGCATCTGGTGTTTCCGGGAGGATCTGGTTCTTCTTCTTAAGAGCTTCTTTCTCTGCCTCTTCTTCTTCGTTGGCCTCACTCTTGATGAGGAGAGCTCTGACCATCTCTACCTCACCGCGCATGGCAGCAAGATGGAGCGCGGTCTTACCATCGAAGATGCGAGCGACGATACGGGCTCCAGCATCGACGAGAGCTTGAACGACCTGCGGAGTTGAGGTCATGACCGCCAAATGAAGTGGAGTACGCCCAGTGTAGTCCCTTCGGTTGGGATCAGCACCCTCTTGACTGAGCCAATCCCGGACATGCTCGAGATCTCCGTCCACTATAGCCTGACACAGTCGCGCTGTATTGCCGACATATGCCATCTCGGTCCAATCATCATCAGTAAGAGGGTTAAATGAGCCGATTGATTGCCGTCCAGGGTTGTCTTTGATGAAAGACAATGTGCCAGACACATAGATCTTGCTTTCCTCAGCTGCAATCTCCTGATCTTCTGGTGTGGTGGGCTCGGGACAGAACCCGCAACAGTCCCCAATTACATCGATTGCGTTACCAAAGAAGGAAGGGTGTCGATGTAGTGTGGTCTGTCGATCCTTAGGTCGATTCCATTCGGCGTTGAGTAGCAAGTCCTTCGCAAAGAGCAACCTCTCAATCTTCCGAGCATGGAACTTCGGCCCGTATGGGATGGTGAAGGTATGGTAATCGCTGACCTCATCAGTCTCTACCCACTCGGCAACATCTTCGTCATGCTGTTGCTTGATGTCGCCTTTGAGCTTCTGCGTGGCCCAACGATTGATGGCTGGTCTGCCACGTTCAGCACGACGCTGATCAACGTAAGCGTCACGGTCAGTGCTTTTCGGCAATTTCTCAAGTACTAGCAACCTGGCCAGTCCGAGAGTGCGACCGAAGGAGCGTTCGAACAGCGTGGGATCAATACGCGACCGATCGAGGAGCGGCCAGTAGACTTCGAAGCCGCGGCGTGCATACTTGGACAATCGGTTTTCGTATGACGGGGAGCGACGTGTCAGGTCGATGGTGTTGATCTGCGTCATGTATGCAGCGATCGCACGAGGACTGGCGTAGACTTGCTTGCCATCGTATGCCGCACAGGAA